GGTGGGAGTGCAAATACTTTTCCTCAGCTAAACATACTACCTACTTCACTCTGCCACTGTGTTGGTCACTCAGAGTGAGACTACTTTGTTGATAGACATTGTTTTTATAAGGATGAGGAAAAATGTATATGTTTTGGGAACTCATCCAGGCTTTTTATTTACATGTGGCTATTCTCTGCTCTGAAAATAAGTAACCCTTATGAAGTTTATCAGTCTGTATTAGTTCAGTTTATTTTTTCCTTAGGCATTGCCTTTTCTCCAGAATAAAGGCACAGTCTTCCATTGTTAACTATACTTGCCTTTTTCTTATTTCTACTTTTTTTGTAACATAGGGGTCAATGTTTCTTAAACGGGTAGTTTGTAAATTATTATTTTACAAAGACAATAAAGTAAATTATTAACAAAAGGCTTATTCTGAGATAAGCAAGTTGAGAAACTTCAACTGCTATCAGGTCAGTTTAGACTCATTTAGTTTCCAAGCCTGTCTTCTCAGAGCAGCTGGTGGGGTTTAAAACCTTTGGACATGTGTAGTCTCTTCGTTAGCAGCACAGTATGCTAAGATAGACTCTTCCACCAAAGTTCAGAAAGGGAATGATTAATTTGTTTCTTTTTGAGTGAATTCCAACTTAATAGACTTATAGTGATTCCCTGTGTAACAGAACGAAACACTGCCTGATCCTGTGCTGTCCCCACAGTCATCGCTGTTTTCATGACAGTTGTTGCAGTTCATTTGTCAATTCAGCTCTTGAAGACCTTCCTCTTTTTTGCAGACCTTCTGCTTTACCAAGTGTGATGTCCTTCTCAATGGCCTGATTCCTCCTAAGAACATTTCCAAAGTATCTGACACAAGGTTTCACCATTCTTGCTTCTAAAGTGCTTTCTGGCTGTTATTTCTTCTCAGACGCAGTTATTTGTTCTTCTGGAAACCCATAATATATAGCTAGTAGTATTATTTACTGATACCATAATTTAACGATACCAATTCTTTGTTGGTTTTCCCTATTTATTATCCAACTTTTGCAAGCTTACGAAGAATAGTTTGCAAGTACTACTGGTTTTCCTCCACCCCAGTATTTTAAATAGATCTTTTATAGCAAGTTTGCCCACTGTAATGTTATGTAATTTCCTTCGTGTTTAGGGTATTTTGATGTTATGTATTGGTTTGGTTGTCAAAATATTTTGTTTCCCTTTATATAGAGGTCTAATCAATCCATACTGAAGCTCTGGTGGCCTAGTAGGTAGGGAGTTGCTTTGCTAACTCAAAAGTGATGTCTCTGGCCATTTGAATCCACCAGTGGCTCCTTTGGAAAAAGATGGGCAGTCTTCTCTTGTGCCACTTCCAGCCTCTGAACATGCTGGAAGGTAAGATAATAGTTGGTTCTGACACAGTTGCAATAAGAATGGCAAATCCATCCTGAAGGAGGAATCCATACAGAAGTTTTGTTAGTAGTTCAAATCTTCTTTGCTTGTGGCAAGCAAAGTATTAATATCAGTGTATTGCAGAATATTGAGTCTTTTCATCTTGTTGCTTCTTCATATAGTCTACTTTCTTAGATTATTTGCTCAGTTTACAGATTTAATAAGTACATTGAAAGGATGCATTCATAACACCACTTTTTCTGATTTTTAAGCCATACAATTCTAAGAACTACTTCTTAGTCTATATATAGATTCTATAAGCAAATTTAGTATTGTAGAGTTCCTATTCTTTGCAGTGTTATCCATGTATTGTTATGACCCACCAGAGTTGAATGTCTTTGCATAGTCAGTAAAACTCAGGTAAACATCTTCCTTTGCTTTCAGTAGCGATCGAGCTGACATCACAAGTCATGTCCCTTATTCCACCATGTCCTCTTTTGAATTTGGTTTAAATTTTTGTTAGCTCCCTGTTGATGAACTGTTGCAACTATTTTTAAAATTATGTTTTGCAAAGTTTACTTGTGTATGGTATTAATGATACTGTTAGATAATTTCTGTATTCTAGTGGATGGATCACTTTTCTTTAGAGTGGGTGCAAGTATGAATCTCTTCAGTCATTTATCCAGAAAGCTGTCTTTCAAATTTTTGACTTAGACAAATGAGTACTTCCAATGATACATCTGTTTGTTGAAACTTATTGATTGTTCGTATTCTGTCAATTGTTGGAGGCTTATTTTTTGCGAATACCTTCAGTGCAGCTTGGACTTCCCCTATGAATGTCATGGTTCTTAATAATAATTAGGTAATATTAAGATTTGGAACAATATGTCAGTAGAGAACTGCCAGATGTACAGGCTGGATTTAGAAGAGGTCATGGTACTAGGGATATCATACCTAATGTTAGATGGATCTTGGAAGAAAGCAAAGAATACCAGAAGAATGTCTGTCTGTGCTTCATTGACTATGCAAAGGCTTTTGACTGTGTGGATCACAACAAGCTGTGGTCTACTCTGAGAGGAATGAGAATCCCAGAACATTTGATTGTGCTAATGCGAAACCTATACTTGGACCAAGAGGCAGTCATCAGAACAGAGCAAGGAGACACTACATGGTTCAAAATCA